CAATAATTCTGCTATTATTTCTAAATTGCTATATTCTTTGGGTAGGATATGCTAGTTTATTAAATTTTTCAAGTTGGAATCTTAGATCATTAATGTTGATTTTTTTTTAAAGATTTTATTTTTTATTTCAAAGAGAAAGCACAAGTAGGCAGAGCAGTAGGCAGAGGGGGAGGGAGAAGCAGGCTCCCCGCTGAGCAGCAGCGGGCTCTTTCCGGGGACCCTGGAATCATGACCTGAGCCCAAGGCAGACACTTAACGGACTGAGCCACCCAGGTGCCCCAATGTTGATCTTTTCTGACAAACAGTGAAGCTGTCAATTTCTGAGTGCCTTTTTAACTGCACCTCACAAGTTTTGATATATAGTATCTTATTGTTCAATACTAAATAATTTTAAATTTACAGCATGAATTTTTTCTTTGACCCATGAGGTGTGGAGGATTTGGGAAACTGGCATTTCTCATCCATGCCAAACCTCTTTCTAGTTGCCTTCTAATCCAGCAAAGCCTGAAAAGATAAGAGCTTCATAGGTCAGATCCCCTTGCAGCTGAAAGTAAATTAAGTTCTTCCACTGGATGCACCACACATGATATGAATGGTGGAACAGAAGTAAACCTTATCGAAGGCAGGTTTCAAAGATGGCAAACACAGGCGGCTCCTGAGCTCCCCTCCTCCCATGGACTTACTGAATGAACAATTACACATGGAACAATTCCCTCTGAAAGAAACCCAGAAACTACCTGAGCAACTCCTACACATTGGGCCAATGAAGAAAACATCACATCAAATGGGTGGGAAAGGCTGAGACACACTCTGGCCACAAACGCCACTGCAGCACAGTGCCATGCGATCCCAGCTTCTCCCTGATGAGTAAAGTGTTTGGACTCTACATTTACAGCCCCAACTTTAAGAGTTCCCTGTGAAGGACAGATTCCCAAAACACCTCCTTCCACAAGCCAAGAGGCCTTGCATCCACGAGACCCCCAAGACCAGTGTAAGCCAAGCAGAAGATAATAACAGGCATTAGCCCTTGCCATGGCTAACCCCCAGGGGCTCAGAGCAGAAGGCGCATGCAGAAATGCCTATCTCCCTGCCTTTTCCTGAAACAGGCCTATTTGCATACTTCAATAGCTGCTGCTAAAGTTTAACCTACCTACATCTAGGGACTGTGATTCTCTGCTGAGACCAGGGAGGTCTGTGGACAGCTCCCCTACTCTTTCACTCTAGCCCACTCTTTCACCAGTAGCTCCCTAGAAGGAGTTTGTATACACGCGTGGTGCCCCAGTTTTTGCTGCTGCCACCTGAAAAGCAGCTTCCTGGGTCACCTGGCTCTGAGAGCCAATGGGGCTTGCATTCAGGAGTCCCAAAGGACTACAGCAAGCAAGAAGTTCTTAACAGGTTCAGGAGCACCTTCTCACAGTGGTATGCCCAGGCCCAGTTTAAAGGGAGCAAGCAAAAATGACTAACTCACAATTCTTCCCTGGAAGGGGCCTACCTACATATTCTCCCAGCTGCTGCCTAAAGGTCAGTCAGGATTCCAAGTGGTTTGAATCTAGATGCTGACTGTGATCCTCCCTTCTTTAGGACCCTGGTGGGTCTTGGCACATCCTCAACTACTGGGAGCCACTAAGAACAAGGAAAGTGGCTTGGACAAGCACAAAGATTTGAGAGACACCCAGGAGCCAAGCTCCTTGATGAGGTTTATCTCCTACACAAGACCACTTCATCAAGACTAGAAGAGATGGCTGTTTTATCTAATGCACAGGAACCAACACTTAGGAGTCCAAGGAAATGAAGGAAAAGAAGAATATATTCCAAACAAAAGAATAAGATAAAACTCCTGAAACAGATCTTAATAAAATGGAGAGAAGTGATTTACCTGACAAAGAGTTCAAAGTAATGGTCATAAAGATGCTCACCAAAATCTATGCATGAACAAGGCAAAAATTTCAACAAAGAAAACAGTTTAAATTTACCAAACAGAAATCTAGGAGCTGAAGAATGCATTAACCGAAATGAAAAGATCAATAGTGGGTTTAAACAGCAGAACAGATCAAACAAAAGAATGGATCAGTGAACTCAAGGACATAGCAGCAAAATTCATCCAAGCAGAGGAACAAAAAAAAAAAAGAAAAGAAAAGAAAAGAAAAAGAGGGAAGAGCACTTAAGGGACTTCCGGGATACCATGAAGAAGACCAGATCTGCATTACAGAAATCCCAGAAAGAGAATTGAGAAAGTAAGATGCAGACAGATTATTAAAAGAAATAATGGCTGAAATCTTCCCTTTCCTAGGGAAAAAAAAGAGACATCCAGATCCAAGCCCAAAGAGTATCTATAGATACTTTGATTCATCTCAAAAGACCCAACCTAAGGGGCGCCTGGCTGGCCCAGTCAGTGGAGCGTGCAGCTCTTGATCTCGGAGTTGTTCCAAGCCCCACGTTGGGTGTAGAGATTAAATAAAAATAAAAGATAAGTAAATTAAATAAATAAACAAGCAAACCCAACCCAAGATACATTAAATGGTCAAAAGTTAGACAGGAGGGAATCTTAAAAGCAGTAAAAAAACAAAACAAAACAGATTGTACCATACAAGAGTAACTCCATTAGCATATTTTTCATAAAAAATTTTACAGGCCAGAAGGGAGTGGGATGATATATTCAAAGTGCTAAAAGAAAAAAACTGCCAACCAAGAATATTCTGCTTAGCAAAGTTGTCCTTCAGAATGGAGGGAGACACAAAGAATTTTAGAGACAAGCGAAAGCTGAGGAAGTTCATCAGCACTAGACAGGCTTTATGAGAAATGTTAAAGGGAATACTCTAAACTGAAACCAAAGGATGCTAATCAATAACAGGAAAACATATGAAAGTATAAAAATCACTGGTAAATGTAAATGTATAGTTAAATGCAGAATATGCTAATGTTGTAAAGGTGGTGGGTAAATTGCTTATAACTCCAGTATAAACATTAACAAAAGTATTTAAAATAACTAATTAAATAATTTATCAATGGATACACAAAGTAAAAAGATGTAGTTTGTGACTTCAAAAACATAAAATGTAGGGGTAGGTAGAGAGTAAAAATGTAGAGCTTTTGTATGACTACTAACTTAAGTTGTTAACAGATTAAAATAGACTATTGTAAATATAAGATGTTTTTATGTAAACATCATGTTAAATACAAAGCAAAAACCTATAGTAGATACACAAGAAAAAGAGAAAGGAATCTAAGCACACCACTACAGAAATGATCACATCACAAAGAAACAAGAAAGAAAGAAAAGAAAGACCAAAACAAGAACTCAATTAATAAAATGGCAATAGTAAATCCATACCTACTGATAATTAGTTGAAATGTAAATGGACTGAAATCTCTAATGAAAAGATAGAGTAGCTGAATGGATTAAAAAAAATAAAAAACAAGACTCAATTATATGCTGCCTAGAAAGAACTCACTTCACAGAAAGGGGGGGAAGCTGAGGGAGTAGGAAAATCTTGAGCTCACCTCCTCCCACAGACACACCAAGTCTCCAACTACTTATAGTGCAATTCGCTGAGAATGACCTGAAGACTACCAGAGCAGCTTTTCCACAGCAAAAGATTTTAAAAAAAAAAAAAAAGCCACATGAAGAAGGGTAGGAGAGGCAAAGATGTAGGTGGTGCAGCAACCCACAAGCAGAGGAATATCACAAGCCTGAAGTCCTCCCTGAGGAGCAAGGGATTTAAGCCACACATAGGATACTCCTGATCGGGGGATCTGCACCAAGAAGATGAGCCCCCATAATGTCTAGTTTTGGAAATCAGCAGGGCTTGACTCCGGGAGAGCCAGGGGACTGAAGAAACCCAAGACTCTACTCTTAAAGGTCCAGCATACACTATCGCTTGCTCAGGGACCCAGCACAAAGGCAGCAGTTTGAAAAGCACCTGGGCTATATGTGAAGGAGATTTATTGAATTTATTTAATTTTAGGGCACGTGCCAGAGAGGCAGGGATCTGTAGGAACTTTTTCCAGGAAGAGAAGTGTTATCAGGCATCATCTTTCTTGCCTTCAGTTTAGCTGGCCCAATGCTGAGATTGGGCCAATGGGATGGCCCAGTCCATCATGTCAGCAGTGACACCAGCTGACACTCTTTGAGGCAGGCGGACTCAGCCAGGACTGGTGCCCTTCCCAAGTGACTTGCAGTCCCACCAACCAGCATGCTTGAAATAGTCACAGCCAGGCCTCATAGTCAGCCACACTGGGGACTAATCCCACCCACCAGTGTACCCACAGCAGCCACAGCCCAGTCACAATAGGAGGCTGCATGTTCCCCACACAGGGGACACCCTGGAGCACCTGGTTCTGATGAGGAGAAAGGATTCTGCCGGTGGGCCCCACAGGATGCCTCCTCCATTAGGCCCCTACCTTCTAGAACAGAAGAGGCAGGTGAACTATCTATTACATAGAAACAGAGACAAAATAAGGAGACAGAGGAATAGGTTCAAAATGAAAGAACAAGACAAAACCTCAGAAAAAAAACTAAGTGAAAGGGAGATAATCTACCAAAAAAAGAGTTCAAAATAATGGTCATAAAGATGCTCACTGAACTTGGGAGAAGAAAGGATAAACTCAATGAGAGCTTCAGCAAAGATAGAAAATACAAGAAAGAACCAATCACTGCTGAAAAATAACTGAAATGAAATCAACAGCACATGAAAAGATGTAGAATGGATCAGCTATCTGAAAGACAAGGTAGTAGAAATCATCCAAACTGAACAGCAAAAAGAAAAAAAAAAGATTTTTAAAAATGAGGGTAAGTTAAGGGACCTCTGTGACAACATTAAGCATACTAACATTCACACTATGGGGATCCCAGAAGGAAAAGAGAGAGAGAACAAGGCAGGAAACTTACTGGAAAAAGTTACAGCTGAAAACTTCCCCAACCTGGGGAAGAAAACAGACATCTGGGTCTAGGAATCATAGAGAACTCTGGCAGGGTTATCATTCAGAATTGAAGAAGAAATAGTTTCCCAGACAAACAAAAGTTCAAGGAGTTCACCACCACTAAGCTAGCCTTACAAGAAATGTTAAAGGGACTCTTTAAGCAAAAAAGAAGAAATCATGACTAGAAGAAGATTAAGCAAGAAAAAGTTTCCTTATTAAAAGCAATCATACAGTAAAAGTAATAGAGTGGTCACTAATAACAGTAGTATGAGGGTTAAAAGACAAGAATAGTAAAATAAATTATATCTATGTTAGTTAAGGGATACACAATATTGAAAATTTTAAATAAGACATCAAATATATAAAATGTGGGTGGGGAGGTAAAAAATGTGGTACTTCGGGGCACCTGGGTGGCTCAGTCGTTAAGTGTCTGCCTTCAGCTCAGGTCATGATCCCAGGGCCCTGGGATCGAGCCCCACATCGGGCTCCCTACTCGGTGGGGAGCCTGCTTCTCCCTCTCCCACTCCCCCTGCTTGTGTTCCCTCTCTCGCTGTGTCTCTGTCAAATGAATAAATCTTAAAAAAAAAAATGTGGTACTTTTAGAATGTGTTTGAACTTAACTCTCAACTTAAAACATACCGCTATATACATAAGGTGTTACATATGAACCTCAGGCTGGCCACAAACCAAAAACCTATAATAATTACAAAAAATAAACAAAGAGAAAGGAGTCCAAGCATAACACTAAAGGAAGTCAAGACACAAGAGATAAAAGCAAAAAAAAAAAAAAAAAAAAAAAAAGAATAGAAAAACAACCAGAAAACAATTAACAAATTGGGAATGTGTACATAACTATCAATAATTACTTTAAATGTAAATGGACTAAATGCTCCAATCAAAATATAGAGTGACTGGATTTAAAAAAAAAAAATCTGTATCCTGCCTATAAGAGGGTCACATCAGACATGAAGACACATAGGGACTGAAAGCAAAGCAATGGAAAAATATATTCCATGCAAATGGAAGTGGGGGGAAAAAAAAGCCAGGATAGCAATACTTATCAGGCAAAATAGACATTAAAACAGACATTAGTGAAAGATAAAGAAGGGCATTACATAATGATAAAGGGATCAATCCAACAAAAGAATATAACAATTATAAACATCTATGCACGCAACATAGGAGCACCTAAGTGTACAAAGCAAATATTCACAAAGGGAGAGCTGGACAGTAATACAATAATAGTAGAGGACTTTAACACCCTATTTCCATCAGTGAATAGATCATCCAGTCAGAAAAATCAATATGGAAACAGTGGCTCTGAATGACACATTAGACCAGATGGACCTAACAGATATATATAGAACATTCAATCCAAAACCAACAGAAAACACATTCTCTACAAGTGCACGTAGGATAGATCACATAATAGGTCACACAAGTCTCAATAAATTTAAGAAGACTGAAATCTTATCGAGCATCTTTTCCCCAAAATTACAAGAAAAAAATTGGAAAAAAACACAAATATGTGGAGATCAAACAACATGCTGCTAAATATCCAATGGGCCAATGGATAAATCAAATAGAAAATCAAAAAAATACCTGGAGATAAATGAAAATAAAAACATTCCAAAATCTTTGGCATGAAGCAAAAGCAGTTCTAAGAGTTTACCTCAAGAAAAAGAGAAATCTCAAACAAGCCAACCTTATACCTAATGGAACTAGAAAAATAACAAAGCCCAAATATAGGAGGAAATAAAGATCAGAACAGAAATAAATGAAAGACTAAAAAAAAACACACAATGGAAAATATCAGTGAGCCAAGAGCTGATTCTTTGAAACAAAATTGATAAACCTTTAGCCACACTCCTCAAGTTAACAAGAGAGAACTCAAAATCAGACGGAAAAAGAGAAGTTACAACTGACACCACAGAAATACAAAGGATTATCAAAGACTACTACAAACACTTAGACACCAACAAAAATCTAGAAGAAATTGATAAATTCTTAGGAGCATACAATCTTCCAAGACTGAATCAGGAATAGGAAATATAAACAGACCAATTACTACTAATGAAATTGAATCAGTAAGCAAAGACTCCCAACATGCATTAGTCCAGGACCAAAGAGCTTCACAGGGGAATTCTACCAAACATTTAAAGAAGAATTAATATCTATCCTTTTTTAAAAAAAAGATTTTATTTATTTATTTGACAGAGAGAGAGACAGCGAGAAAGGGAACATAAGCAGGGGGAGGGGGAGAGCGAGAAGCAGGCCTCGACACGGGGCCAATCGCAGGACCCTGGGATCATGACCTGAGCTGAAGGCAGATGCTTAACAACTGAGCCACCCGGGCGTCCCAATATCTATCCTTCTAAAACTATTCCCCAAAAGCTGAAGATAAGGAATGGTTCCAAATTCCTTCTATGAGGCCAACATTACCCTGATACCAAATCCATACACAGACCCTGAAAAAACAAAAGAAAGAAAATTACAGGCCAGTATCCCTGACGAACATAGATGCAAAAATCCTCAACAAAATATTAGCAAACTGAATTCAACAATACAGTCACCACAATCAAATGACATTTATTCCAGGGAAGCAAGGATGGTTCAGTATCCAAGAAATCAATCATGATATACCACATTAACAAAATCAAAGCTAAAAATCCTCAGTTCATCTCAATAGATGCAGAAAAAGTACTTGACAATATTAAACACCCATTCATGAAAAGAACTCTCTGAACAAAGTGGGCACAGAAATAATACATCTCACGATGTTAAAGGGCTCATATGACAAGCTCACAGCTAATATATTTAACAACAGAGAGGTGACAGCTTTTTCTCTAAGATTAAGAACAAAACAAGGATGTCTATTCTCATGGTTATTCAACGTAGTACTGGAGGAGGCCTTATACATAGCAATCAGACAAGAAATAAAAGGCATTCAAAAAAAAAAAGGCATCCAAATTGGTCACAAGTATTTTAAACGAAGTAACACATGACATACCATATATAGAAAACCCTAAAGACGCTACCAAAAAAAAATTAGAATGAATTCAGTAAACTTGCAGGACACAAAAATCAATATACAAAATCAGTTGCATTTTATACAGTAATAACTACCAGAGAGAGAAGGACACAATCCCATTTACAATAAGAATAAAATACCTAGGAATATATTTAACCAAAGAGGTGAAAGACCTGTACTCTGAAAACTGTAAGACAATGATGAAATACACTGAAGACACAAATAAATGGAAAGATATTCCATGTTCATGGGCTGGAAGAATGAATATTGTTAAAATGTCCATACTACCCAAAGCCATTTATAGATACAATACAATGCAATCCCTATCAAAAGGAGAGGAAGAAGAGAATCTCAAGCAGACTCCCCACTGAGCAGGGAGCCCAACGTGGGGTTCAGTCTCACAACCCTGAGATTATGACCTGAGCTGAAACCAAGGGTGGGATGCTTCATCAACTGAGCCACCCAGGCTCCCCTTCAGAAATATTGAGTATAGAATTCTAGTTTGAATTTTCTATTAATAAATTGAAGCTACTATGCCATTGTCTTCAGGCTTCCATTTTTGCTGTTAAGAATCCAGCTTCTCTAATTGCTGTTCCTTTTTAATATAGCTATTTTTTCTTTGTATTGGTGTTCTATGGTTTGCCTCTGATGTATCTTGGTAAGTTTCTGTTTATCTGTGCTAATGGAGATTTCTTGGGCTTCCTGAACATGAGGATGGGTTGCTTCCATCAGATTTGGAAAATTCTCAGCCAATACCTCTTTGAACGTTGCCCTCATTGACACGTCTCCCTTCTAGAATTCTGGCTAGGTCTTACCTCTCTCAATTCTTTTGTCTTTGTCCCTTTGATCTGCATTATGGATAATTTCTTTGAATTTATTTTCCAGTTCATTATTTCTCTCTTCAGCTTCACTTAAAATCTGATATTTAAACCATCCTTGGGATTTTTATGTTCAACTGATACTTTTTTATTGCTAGAAATCCCATTTCTTCAAATTTACTTGGACATTCCTTAACAGTCTTTTCCAATCATATTTTTAAGCTTTTCTTTGAGCACATTAAATATGTCCCTTTTTATCATTAGGCTCTGATAATTCCAATATCTAATGTCTTTAGGGTCTGTTTCTGTTCTTTTTTTCAACTGGGTCTCGCCCATGTGCCTCATCCCCCACCCCCAACTTTAAATTTATCTGAAACTGTTCAGATAAGTGGAAGTGAAGAAATTCTCTATAGAAAGTCTCTGAAAGCCATTGCTGAGGTTGCATTCCTCCAGAAAAGGTTGATGTTTGATTCTGCCATTTCCCTGGAGGTACTATGAACTGAGAACCATTCTAAATTTAATTATCTGTTTGAGGTTTTCTTTTAACCACACAGGTTACATAAGTTTGAACCACAACTAAGAGAGCCAGCTTGTCACTGCAAATTCTCAGGGGAGATTTTTTTATTCCCTTCCATCTGGTGTCAAGGTTGCAATAGTGAAGTCCCCTTGCTGTCCTCTGCAGCACACCAGGTTTATTTCTTGCTCATGTTTACCCTCAGACTGCAGCCTGTTGGGCCCCATCCCTACGCAGGATGGTCTAATAGACCCCCCTGCACATGGCCTCGCCTTGTCTCCCACTCCCCAAGCTCCCTGCAACGATCAAAGAGGAAGTTCACGGTCTCCACACTTCAGCAGAAACCCTCTGTGCAGAAGCCAGCTTTGTCATTATAAGGTTCCTGCTTTCCTTTTTTCTTTTTTGACCTCTGCATTCCTTAGAGAAGCTTAACAACACATCTTTAAAATATTTACCTAGCATTTTGGTGTTTTTCAACTGGAAGATCACTCAGACTACCTAGTCTGCCACATGAACAGAAAGAGCCATGCTACTCCATGGAGAGGGCGTTACCAGGAAGGGTAAGGGCCCTCTGATTCTGGGTCTACCAGTGTCCAATGCCAGAACAAGTGGGCCAATGTCCCCGGGGCCAGGTTGGGTTTTGTAAAGTCCTGAGACAGTGGACTCCTAAGGGGTCAGGCTTAGGAAGGTTTGAGTATCCCAGGATTGCAAAGGATGTTAGCATAACCTTTCTCTAAAGAACTCCTGCCATGGGAAGACATCTCCTTACATACGTAGTCTAACTAATAAATGAAATGAAAAAGAAATGATAGTTTTAGAATGTCACCATTTCTCAAAGCCCAGTGAATTAGTGCATCTAAACATTGAGAATCAATGGCTGCAAACATCACAGTCAGAGGTTATGAGATAAAAGAAGCCTCATCACCTAGCATCTTGCCAAAAGGCTCAAACCAAGTGTGATTCAGCTTTCAGTCTGCAGGAAACACAGAAGAACACACATGCACAATCATAAGATCCAAATCACAAGTCAAGTTGCCTTGGGCTACCAATAAATTTTAAGGAAAAACAGAATGGAGGGGGCACCTGTAGAGTGACTTGAAGGAAATATCAATCATTTTTAAGAGGCTGTGGGTGGGGGACACTGCCAAATTACCGTGTCTAAAATAACACACTTAGATGTTCATTTTTGTGTAATTTTCATATCTGGTATTATTCAATTAAAATATGAAAAAGGTAGGGGAAAAATGATTCCTCTCTCAAATTATTATTGTACCACAGTCTTTACTGATCCAGTTCCATGTGAAGCGTTTGATAGATCTCAGTATCAGTCTCCAAGAAGCCCCAAGGAAACCGCATACCACTCTCTTTACAAACCTGAGTACAGATAGATATCTTTTAGACTTGTGTGTATACACACACACACACACACACACACACACACACACACACACACACAGTATTAGTAAGTGACTTCCAACAGTACCAGAATATAGAATAAAGGGGAAAAAGAACTAAATTCCTACCTACCTTCCCCAAGTTCCCTGTGCTAATCTCTGCATACACTTGACCATTCCCCCCTCCCAAATGCCATCTCTCTTCTTCCCTCCATTCTAGACCTTGTTCCTGCTGTTCCTTTGACAGAATACTCAGACTTCTTCACAGCCAGCTGCATTCTCTGCGTTTCTGAGACCTCCCCTGATTGCTAACTGAATCAGAGCTCGCTCTCATCAGAGCCCCATTACTATCTGCTACTCTCTTTGTGGGATTTACCTTAATCCGTCTTATTTTATAATTACTTTCCTTCCTCCTGGATGATATGATTATAAACTCACTACAGAGAAAAACTGTCTAACTCGTTCTATGCATAAAGGAGGAGCACAATATCTTAGTATAGTCATCCAAAGCCCCCCCACACACACACCCTCTAAGTACAAGAAATGTCTTTTCTTTCTTGGTTAATAATTAAGTTGACTTAACTACCTTCATTGGTTGCTTTTTACTACAGGCATGTTGCTCATTCTGTGATAATACAGCATTGATTGTAACTTAGCAGTTACAAGTCACTAAAGTCTGCAACTTGCTTGTCAGCTTCTCTTCAAGTACCAAGAATTGGCCAAAATAAATGCCCAGTAGTGGAACTGCTGGGTCATAGGGTAGCTCTATTTTTAACTTTTTGAGGAAACTCCACACTGTTTTCCAAAGTGGCTGTATCAACTTGCATTCCCACCAACAGTGTAAGAGGGTTCCCCTTTCTCCACAACCTCCCCAACATTTGTTTCTTACCTTGCCAATTTTTGCCATTCTAACTGGTGTAAGGTGGTATCTCAATGTGGTTTTGATTTGAATTTCCCTGATGGCTAGTGATGATGAACATTTTTTCATGTGTCTGTTAGCCATTCGTATATCTTCTTTGATATACGAATATCAAAGTGTTTTATTCATGTTTTCCGCCCATTTTCTGACTTATTTGTTTTTTGGGTATTGAGTTTGAGAAGTTCTTTATAGATCTTGGATACCAGCCCTTTATCTGTAGTGTCATTTGCAAATATCTTCCATTCCATGGGTTGCCTCTTTTTTTTTTGTTGACTGTTTCTTTGCTGTGCAGAAGCTTTTTATCCTGAAGTCCCAAAAGTTCATTTTTGCTTTTGTTTCCCTTGCCTTTGGAGATGTGTCTTGAAAGAAGTTGCTGTGGCCAATGTCGAAGAGGTTACTGCCTATGTTCTCCTCTAGGATTTTGATGGATTCCTGTCTCACATTGAGGTCTTTCATCCATTTAGAGTTCATCTTTGTGTATGGTGTAAGAGAATGGTCGAATTTCATTCTTCTGTATACAGCTGTCCAATTTTCCCAGCACCATTTTTTGAAGAGACTGTCTTTTTTCCATTGGATATTTTGCCCCAAAGATACAGATGTAGTGAAAAGAAGGGCCATATGCACCCCAATGTTCATAGCAGCAATGTCCGCAATAGCCAAACTGTGGAAAGAGCCGAGATGCCCTTCAACAGACGAATGGATAAAGAAGATGTGGTCCATCTCTACAAGGGAATATTACTCAGCCATCAGAAAGGATGAATACCCAACTTTTGCATCAACATGGATGGAACTGGAGGAGATTATGCTAAGTGAAATAAGTCAAGCAGAGAAAGTCAATTATCATATGGTTTCACTTATTTGTGGAACATAAGGAACAGCATGGAGGACATTAGGAGAAGGAAGGGAAAGATGAAGGGGGGGAATCGGAGGGGGAGACGAACCATGAGAGACGATGGACTCTGAGAAACTGAGGGTTTTAGAGGGGGGGAGGGGGATGGGTTAGCCTGGTGATGGGTATTAAGGAGGGCACGTATTGCATGGAGCACTGGGTGTTATACACAATGAATCATGGAACACTACATCAAAAACTAATGATGTACTGTATGATGACTAACATAACATAACTAACCTAACTAACTAACTAAATAAATAGATTGGCCGAGAGCCCTAGAAAGCTTCAGTGATAAATTCTAGTGGTGCTGGCAGTACCATTCCATCAGAGGGTAGCAGAGAGCCAAGGGAAGGGCGGCAACCTGCAGCAGGGCTCCAGGATGCATTTCTGGGCTGAGTCAGGGCAGGTGGACCTGGGAAAATTTCCCATTTCAAAACAGGTTTCCAGAGTTAGAGACTAAGCAAAGCTAGTATGCTCCACAAGCCTCTTAGATCCCAGAGAGACCATAGCCCTGGTGGGATCTGCACTTGTCTAAAGTTTAGACTGCAGGGGATGGGGGTAGGGAGTCAGAGGGCTCCATTTCCTTTTATGAAATATGCAGAAGCAACCTTTCTCCTGACATAAAAATCAGCCTCCTGGAAAACCATCTTATTGCTGAATACTGCTTCTCTCCAGGAATTCCTCCCAGAGGCAACTTCCCCTTTGTTCTCTGAGAACAGGGCCAGTGTTTGAGACAGCTGTGGGTTCTCTTCTGTGAACTGCCCCCATCTTAACTAATTCTAGTCAGCAGGTCCCTTCTAGTGAAAGGCTGACCCACTTAGGTTTTGAAAGAGACCATCCTTGTTTCAGGCCCAGCTAACATATTAGCATAAATTTTATTTCAAACTTTAAAGAGTATATGTTTAAAAAGGAAATTCCATGATACTTTTACTCTAAGCATTTGTCTTACAAAAAGCCCATCTCTGGCCACTGGAGGTCTCTGGGTCTCACTGCTCATGGACCACCTCATCCTCAGAAAGGCACAGGGTTGCCTCCGAAAAATCTAACGCCAAGCATGTCTGTGACTTTAGTGACTATCAAAAGAACCCCAGGGCGCCCAGCCATACAGGGACAGAGGAAAATACGGGGTTCCAGGGGTCAGCTGTGTTGAGACAGTGCACTGCCTCTGAGCTGCGGATCTGCTATGCTGAACCCTCTGGGTGAACTGGAGAAGAGCCTGGCCGACCAACTGCAGCAAAAGAACCATCTCGGTAAGCAGATCTCCCCATGGAAGTCTTTACGGCACCTTTGGTTTTCCAATTTTCCAAAAATCCAGTCTGATTCTGAAATCTTTGAAGCATGTATAAATTACCAACTTCACAGCAAAAAATAAAAGCAGAGCTTTTAGACAGATTGTTTGTTGCCTGCCCAGGGTCCTTTCTCTCTCTGTCTTTTTTTTTAATAACAGAACTCTTAGGCAATGCACCAGATTC